CACCCACACTGGGCATGTGGCTCCAGGCTCCAAATGTGGCATTCTTCCTTCTGTTCTGATAAGTGTTGTAGTGAAGTTGGCTGAAATTAAGTGTACTCTATACTGTGAGACATTGCTATGAAAGTCCACTAGTTAGTCAAACACATAATTCTCTGTAGACTATTTGACAGGAAGCTTCTGATATGTGATTCTTGGCTATTCCCCCATTTACTTAAAATCACTTACCCCCTACAGTGCCAAATAATCAGTGCTTATTGAGTGATTACTGTGTAACCAGTGTCGCTGTGTTCACCTAACATAGTAGGAGGAAACTCACACATTGCCCAAGTTTTCCCAATATTTCCCAAGCAAGATCTAGCTCTCAGGTATGCTTCTCCAGAGAGAAAAAATAGCTTTTTGTTTTTTTTTTTTAACATAGCTGTTGAGTTTTGTCAGACACAGTGCTTGATACAAAGGATATGATTGTGACCAAGAGGTTGAATCCCTGCTGGATCTTATAAATGAGGGTAGTTGTTACATGGAACACTCTTCAGTGAGCCAAGCCCATGTGTGGCTGGCCTTCTTCCCTCCCATCTGGGCCATCCTGCCTGTAGTTCACCTGAACCTCTGGAATCTACAGGAGGGTGATGCTGCAATTGCCCTAGCACTGGACACATGTTTTACATTCAATGGTTGAATAAAAACATATTGAATATATTACTTGCAAATATAATGAGCATAATGTCTAAAATAAGCTGATGCTATGTTTTGACACTTTTAGTCAGGCCATAGTTTCCTTGTGATGCAAATATTGATTGCCAGAAGATTTGTTTCAATACAAAATATGTGCAGCTATCCATATTTTATCACTTTCATTATTTTGGACCCAGAATGCCTGGAGTTGGGGGGGGGATTGTCAACTCTGCCATTTAAATATTCCATCTTACGAAAGGGGTGTTTCATAAATTATGTATAACAGTAGATGCCACTCAGTAAATATTTTATATGTGATAGATATTTTGGTCTGAAATCACTTTTTCACTTGAGCAATGATTTAAACCCTTGTTTTTAGTTTTATGAGGTGACACTTTTATAGTATCATGTAGTGAATGCAGCTTGAATGTCATAGAGCTCTAGGGCAGCATTAATCATAAATTCATGTGTCCCCACTCCCAATCCTGGGAAACTTTCTCTTAATTCTGGCTTTATCCATTCTATGTATGGAAGTGTGTGTGAGTGCATGTTGGTGTGTGTGAGTGTGTTGGGAATTTGTGGGGACAGACAATGCTTTGGCTTAATGGCTCTGGAGTTATGAATTTCAAGTGATTTTCAAAGCCTCTAAGACTTATTTCAAGAAAGGAAAAAAATTTTTTTCAGTGGTTAAAAAAAAGGGTATTAAAGTAGACTGGGATGTGGTCCAAAACAATTTCTCAAGTTTGAGTGGGAACTATTAGAGTTTAAAATATTGCCTTTTGTAGGGGTGGGGGGAGGTTATTGTCTACTTTTATGGAGGAAGTACATATGTCTCTGGACTTGTGAGAACAGTCACTCTCCTTTTCTCATGGGCCTAGAGGCCTGGGATAGTTCATTGTCAGGAGGTTCTCTACTGTGTGTGCAGTACTGTCACAATTCTGAGCTATGTGGCCTTCCAGTGAGGATATTGCTTTATGAAGTGGAACTATATGATGAAATTCTCCATTGTAATGTGTGTGTGTGTGTGTGTGTGTGTGTGTGTGTGTGTGTGTGTATAAAAATCACATACTTTTAACTTATACTTGAATTCAATGGGCAGAAGAAAAAGCATGATTTCTACCAATGTTCTTAGAGGTAGGGGCAAAGCCTGATTTATTTAGAGTGCTAATTTTAGTAAAATTTGCAAGGGCCTTGGTGTAACAAATCAAGATGACTGAAGCTCCAACCTTGAAGCCTGAGGTTCTGAACCCTGGGATTTGAACTTGGCTGATAGGAGTAATTGAAGAACAATGACACACTTCATTTCCTTTTTTTGAACCTAAGTTATGCATTGGCCATTTTCTCTGCATCTATTTAATGGTTGTTAAGTTGCTTTCTTTAAGGTGGTTTTTATGTTTTTTTAAACACCCCTTTTTTGCCATTTCATTCTGTTGCCCTCTTGCATGACTTCAGCTTTTCTTGTGCACCTTTGTGACTCAAATGCCTGTAGTCATGAAGGCCTAAAGGCCTTAAGGCCTTTTCTCTTTCCACTGCCCTTCCCCAGAGCCTCAAAGGAGCTTCCTTGTCAGCAAGGCTGTAAAGTTCTGAATCCTTCACTTAGAGAATGGCAGATTTTGTACATTGTTTTAATATTTAAATGACATAAAATACATTTATCCATTCCAGGAATGTAGGGCGTTTCAGATGTTGTTGGGCATCCTAGTGCCAGAACTGTGCCTTGCTCACTGCTATCTTATTGTTGAGGTGGGGTGGGGAAGGGATTCACCAGGAGAGTCTCTGACCAGGAGCCCTAGTTAGTAGCTTGGAACTTGCTCTCCTGTTGTTCCCACTATGCCTGTAATCACAGAGCACAGTGCCATGCTCTTGGGTATGATTCAGCTAGAACTCAGCACAGACCAACCTCAAGGCTGGAATTTTCACCTTTAGTCTTCTGCAGTGTGTCTGCTTTCCCTTGGACTTGTCAGAAGCCTAATTTTATAGATTTATTTTTTGTCTTGGGTCAAATGGGCCTGATGTTACGACATAGGCCTGCAAGTCTCTTCCTGGAGGTGCTGCCATTGACCCTCCTTTCTGAATTTCTCTGAAATCATTCTACTTTGAGTGGTTGCTATTAAAGTTTATTTTTAGAGGTTTTAGTTTTAGAGTGAGGGGAAGGGAGGGAGCAGGAGAGGGAGAGGAACATCAATTGGTTGCCTCTTGTTTGCACCCCAACCAGGGACTGAATCTGCAACCCTGGCATGTGCCCCAACTGGGAATCAAACTGGCAACCTTTAGCTTTTTGGGATGACACCCAACCAACTGAGCCACACTGGTCAGGGCAGAGTTAAATATTAATTTATTTGAAAAATATTAATTGAGGAACCACTGTATGCCAGATAGGAAATTAGTCACTTGTTTGTAGTATTTGTATAATACATTTGTATATAACATATATGGTGATAATTGTTGAGGAGAGAAACAAACTCATGATAAGGGAGGTTGGTGATTACTATCTTGTATAGGGTGATGGGAGAAGGTGGCTTTTAAGCAGAGATCTGAGGAAGTGAAGGCCAAGATATATATGTACATAGGGAATTCTTTAGAACTAATGCTGTCCCTCTCCCGCCTGTCCCCCACCCCCACCATGGGACATTTGCTGGTATCCAGAGACATTTTTGCTTTTCACAGTCTTGGAGGGGAGGGAGTGTATTACTGGTATCTAATGGGTAAAGGCTAGGGATGCCGCTAAACCTACTACAGTACACAAAATATCCCCCCATAATGAAGAATCATCTGGTCCACAATGTCAGTAGTGCCAAGGTTGAGAAACCCTGCTCTAGGGGAGGAGAATGAATTAACAATGCCAGAACACACAGCAACCCTAAAATCAGAAGGGAAAAAGGAAAAACAAAAGCTCTGAGGTGGGGGTAAGCTGGCAAGTTTGAGGACAGCAAGGATCTGTGGATTCCTAGACAGGTGTGAGCAAGGGGAAGAGTGGCAGGAGATGAGAGCAAGAAGTTAGCAAGGCATTCGATCATGTAGTGCTTTGTAGAATGTTACAAAGATTTGGCTGTTATCTCATTGAAATGGGAGGCCACATAAAGGATCTGAGCAGAGGAGTGGCCTGCCCTAATATCCCTCTGGCCATCAAGTAGAGTCTATATCATATCTGGGACTTGAGTGGTGGTATAATTGATTGTTGTGGTGATCCAGGTAAAAGATGCTAATGGTTGGGGCCAGGGAGGAGTGTGGCACAGGTGGCTTGATGCTATCAGATGAGGGGAGTGTTTTGATGGTGGAGTCAATACTAAGTATGTAGGGTTTAGAGAAAGAAAGTACAGTTATGGTTTTGGGTCCTAGTAACTGTAAGGAAGGTTGGCATTCACTGAGAAGGGATAATGTACAGGTTTGGGAGGCAGGAGGAAACAAGGGTTGGTTTTTCAGTGTGTTAAGATTGAGCTTCCTGTTTGCTGCCCTCACAGACATGTTGAGATAGGCAGAGGGTTGTGTGTGTGTGTGTGTGTGTGTGTGTGTGTGAGAGAGAGAGAGAGAGAGAGAGAGAGAGAGAGAGAGAGAATGATGCAGGGGGAGGAGAGAGAGAGAGACTGAGGTCTGTGTCAGGATTTAGATTTGAGAATCAGTCAGCTTACAGATTGCAGGTAAAGTCTCCATGGAGTGGGTTCAAGAGAAAGCAGGAGGGGAGGAATTGGAGAATCATAAGTGTAGGAAACTCTCCGGAGGTGCTTTTCACTAAAGGGTCAGAGAGAAATTTGTGATAGCTGGAAGGAGATACTGGGCCAAGGGAAGTGGTGGTGATAGTGGTCGGCGGGAAATCTAAAGCAGATTTGTGCGATCCATAGATAGAAGATGATACAGGAGACAGAGGGACAAGTAGCTGTGGTACAGGAGGAACTAATGCACAGAACAATAGTCATCTTAGGAACACGCACAGTTTGTCCATTGTAACTGGAGAGAAGAGCCAGCAAATCAGGAGACATCTATATATTAAGAGAAATAAAGGTTTTGAAGAGGGAGGAAGATTCCTTTGTAGTCAGGTGGTTATAGAACCTAAGAAAGGCAAGGTTTCAGCTTGGTTTCAAAGAGGTTATATAAATCAGACAATAAATTTAATTCATTTTAGTTGAAGTTTTATATGTTTCAGATTCACTTTACTTACTGTATGCCAGGATTTCAATATAAAATTTAAGGTCCATTTTTCTCACAGTGTTTTTGATGAGAAATGAATAATTTTTACACTCTAGAGAGTATTTAAAAAACAAAAGAACACCAAATATGATGCTCTCTTTCTTCAAAGTAATCTTTTCCTTTTCTTTCATTCCTGATTTCAGGAACAAACCCTAGCCCTTAGGAAAGAAGGGATTGGTGTTGTTTTGGATTCTGAACTGCCTCATTTGATTGGCATTGATGATGACCTTCTGAGTACTGGAATTATTTTATATCACTTGAAGGTAAACACTACCTGTGTGGAGCATTCTAATTTTGTCCTCAGTTTTCCCTTTAGACACTAGCAAAGTTGATTATAATCCTTTGTGTCAATGAACACAGCTGTTGCATTAAGGAATATGCAAGGAGTCCTGGAGCTCAGTGGGGGTTTTCACAGTACATTGTGATTCTCTGGTATTAGAGGTTCCCATTTTCATGGAATTCTAAAGCCAAATGAAAGTCCATTTACTTTACCTCCTAATTTGTAGAATCAGTAAGAGGGGGATAAGGAACAAAAAGACAGACCAGCTAAGGAAGAAAAGTCACAAGTACTTGGATTGGCTGTACATAGAGTTTCCTGGGCCCTCATGTTAATGTAAAAAGATATTTTAATATGCTTATTGATTTTAAAGAGAGAAGAAGGGGAAGAGAGGGGGAGAAAGAGAGAGAAAGAAAAAGAGAAACATTGTTGTGACAGAGAAATATTAATTGGTTTACTCCCATGTGCACCCTGACTGGAATGCAAACCCACAACCTAGGTATGTGACCTGACTGAGGATTAAACCTTCAACCTTTTGGTGTATAGGACAATGCTTCAACCAGCTGAGCCACACCAGCCAGGGCCCTTATGTTAATTTTCAAATGGTGTCTCCTGCCTATGTTATTGGATTCATGTCAAGAGAAGAGAATTTCCATATCAGCATCAGTGGTTGCTTCTATAACCTTCAGTTTAGTATCCTCTCTCGGATCAGTGGCTTAAAAAGAAAATGGTATTCCACCGTGCTTTGTGGGGTACCGTAAACTATATCTTTAGACATAAAGAGACACCTTTCTCCTGGAGGAGAAATGGGCAGTGCATGATACATGCCAAAAATTGGTGCGCACCCATTATTGGACAGTAAGCTCCAGGAGTTCTGTTGTCATTTTCTAGACAACATTCGGTATTGTTTCAGAGCCTCTGAACTCTAATTGTCCTGAGGCTGTGGTCTTCCCAAGACATTAATCATCAGGTCATCAGGTTGCTTGGACTGAAATAAAAATGGAGAAACAGTCTGCTTCTCATGTCCTTACTAATAAATGTTACTTGTCTTTTCTACTCAGGAAGGTCAGACATATGTTGGTAGAGAAGATGCTTCAACAGAACAAGATATTGGTAAGAATCTTTGTCAGTTTCCTCTTCCCAATGATTTCCCAATGATTTTAAATATCATTTAATGAGGAACTATTTTTGAATGACAGACATAAAGTAATCACAAAAAAAGGAAGCTTTTCAAATGCAATATTGATGAATATATGTTTTCTATAATGTGGAACTCTAATAAACAGAACATTTAATTCAGTGAATAAAATGAAACTCTGAATCCTCTCCCCTCACCCTACAAGTATTCTATACTCTGTCACATCTTTCAAGAGTCCTTTTATTTAAATTACTCTTGTCACATGGGACAATGATTGATAAAATATGTCAACAGACACAGGTAAAGGATACAAGATCCCTTAATGGGAAGGATATGGACACTTAATCTTCATAAAGATGATAAAGGAAAGCAGAATGCACACATATACAGCATACACATGTACGACTGCCTGGGTTTCCAGAAAGTCTTCCTGAGGCACATAGACAAGCAGTGATTGTACCTGAGCAGGTAAGGACTCTCCAGACTTGAAAGGCAGAACTTAGGGAATTTGTGGCAGTGGTGGTGGTGTGTATAAGTGTGTGTGGCAAGGTGAGGACTGGCAGGGGAAGAATCATATCTTCTCAGCTGCTTTTGGAATTGCCGGTGATGAACTTTGTTTTCCCACCAAGTGTAAACTATTAATCAGACCAACCCTAGCATATTAACCCTGGTGTATTCCTACATGTATTTACTATTTGCTTTGAAACTGGGAGAGCTGAAACCAATTCTAAGAAGTCATGAGGTTTAACTATTTGAGTAGAACTAGGCATTAGGCCTTTTCTTCTAATGTTAAATTGTGTGTTTAACCTTTGAGGTTGCTATCAATAATGATGAGTGGTAAAAACACGTTTTCTGTGAGCAGGGAAGTTCAGTAGTGCAGGTCTGTGGAGAACAGTGGGAACTAAATTTTGTCTGTATTCCTGAGAAGCTGGCCAAGATCTTTGCCTGAAGTTGTGTAGGTTTATTTGAAAGGCATTCACTTCCATGCCTGGCCATTCATTAAATAAGAATAACTCAGGATGGTCATGTGTGATTAGGGAAATCTTAGCAGCCACATGCTCTGAGAGGCCTGTGAGGTCAAGTTCTCTCAGAATTGGTACAGGCTGTGGCAGTGTTCATTCTGGTACAGTTTCTAGAAACTTCCTGGCACCTGCCAAGATCCATGCCATGCCAGAGTCACCTTTAGTTTCTGTATTTGTAACAGAGGGTCTGTAAATATGGATGTTACCATAAATTCTTGACCCATGGAGCCCTTTTGTTCTCTCCATTTTACTGAGAACTTTGGTTGGCTCATGATGGAAATTTATTCAGGATCAAACAGAGTGGCTTAATGGTATTCAGTTAAGACAAGTTACCAGTACTCAATCATTTTTTTCCTGGAGATGAAGAAAATTAACCAGAACTGATTTCCTTATAGAGGTGAAAATCCCAGAACTGATTTCCTTATAGAGGTGATACTCAGATGGTTTAAGGTAGCATTCAAGGGGTACCTTCAGTTCTGTCAGCCCATGCCACACACTCCTGAAATTCAGTTTTCTCACTGAACATAAATGTTCACAATATTTACATGGAAAAGGAAAAGTATGCAATGTGGAAAAATAAGTAAAGATAGGAATCATTGTACTAGATACCAAAGGAAAAAATTTTCTTTCTCTTCTTTTCTCAACTTAGTTCTTCATGGCCTTGACTTGGAGAGTGAGCACTGTATCTTTGAAAATGTCGGGGGGACGGTGACTCTGATACCCCTGAGTGGGTCTCAGTGTTCTGTGAATGGTATTCAGATCATGGAGGCTACACACCTAAATCAAGGTATTTGGGTTTTGGTTTTCAGTGTTTTTGTGTGTAATGTTCCTAGAAAACAAGTGGGCTCTGTTGGGGGAACATGTACATCTTAGAATTATTTACCAATTAAGTATGAAAAGAGGGAAGATTGCTTCATTATGCTGTTTTCTCTTTTATTTTGCTGAAGGACTTCTTTATAATCCCCATTATCTTATTGAATTACACAGGAAACATGTATGTAGTTGTTTTAGAAATTATTGTTGTAAAGGATATATGGCTTTGAAAGATTTTTCTTTCAAAAGAGTAGCCTTCAAATGCAAAACCTTAACACAATGGTCTCTTAATAATTTTATTACCTTATTTATATTTTAAATGAAAAATTATAACATAAAGGGTCTGGAATCATATCCTTTTTTCTTTTTGAAATAATTTCAAGTATATTGAAAAATTGCAAGAATAGTACAAAGAACTTTTTTAATTCCAGAAGCATGTGAAAGTAAATCACTAACCTGCTGCCCTACCAGCCCTGAATACTTCAGTGAGTGTCTTCTTTAAACAGTGGCATCTTCTATATAGCTGCCATCCAACCATCCAAATTAGGAAACTGATGCAGAAACATTTCTACCATTTGATTCTCAGCTCCCCTTTACCTTTTGTCCCAACAGTGTTTGTTATGGGTCCACTATTCAGTCCGGCATCCTGTGTTACCTTTGCTTGCCACGTCCCTCTAGTCTCTTTCAGTCTGGAAGAAATCTAGTCTTGATTTCTATCCTTGATATTTATGATTTTGACAATTTTGAAAACTGCAGGTGTGATATGTTATAGAATGTTCCTCTACATAAATATAGTATTTATCTGATGATGTCTCATGGTTAGAGTAGTATCATGCATTTTGACGGGGGTATTGGAGAAATGATGCTGTCTGTACTTTTCTTCTGCCCCATTACACAGTGTCTCTTGCCATTACTAATGATGCTCTCTGTGACCATTTGGCTAAAGAGGAGTTTGCTAGACTTCCTCACTGTGAAGTTACTCACTTTTTTGCATTTTTGATATAAAACTGAAAACAACAAATGAACAAACAATTTAAACAAATAAAATCTTACAAGCACAGACAACAGTTTGTTGGTTACCAGCAGGAAAGGAGGATGGGAGGAGCTTGTAAAGGGTAAAGGGGGTCAAATATATGGTGATGGAAGGAAATTTGACTTTGAATGGTGAACACACAATGCAATATACAGATGATGTATTATAGAACTGTATACCTGAAGTTACTCTTTTCTCTCTTTTTTATTAATAAAGGTAGTGGGAAGGTACAATACTTTGAGATAAAAGAATTCCGTTATCATACTTTCATCATCAATAGTTTTTAGAATTCATTGATTTTTTTTATCTGATTTAATTTTTATTCTGATGGATACTGAATGGTGATTTTCTTTATTCTACATTTATTTTCTCTATTTTGAAACAATATTTTAATTTTTTTTTAAAAACTACTTTTACAATAAGTTGACTTTTTACTTTAAGAAAAATCTCTTTTTTGCCATTTATTTATCCATTAATTAATTTAAATCAACAGGGTCATATGGCTTGCTATTTTATTTGGTAAGTTTTGGTTTATTTCTATCATCTATTTTGATGCTCAGATTGTCCCAGATTGGCCAATGGGAGTTCCTTTTAAGCTGGTTTCTCTGTTCTTCTGGCTTGTCTCATTGTGAATACTTCCCAGGCTCATCTTACACTTCCTTGGAATTGTAAGTTCTCCAAGGACTCTGGGCACTTGGTGTGCTCATTGCTACTGAAGTATCCTTGCATCTGGGTCCTGCCAGTCAAAAGAATTAAGGAAAGTGTGTGTGTGTGTGTGTGAACATTCATAACTATATTTTATTTATATTGCTATATTGAAATATATATTTTTATTTATATTGCTATATTGAAATATATCTTACTACCTATATTGCTAACAAGGAATTTCACACCAACACCTCTAATTTCAACCCATAGCACAATTCATTCTAGTTTCCTTTTTCTTATTTGTAGCTCCCTTTTCTGACAGTGACAAACCTGACTCCCATTATGTAACCAGTACCCTGTCACTGCTTCTCCCACTTCATGCAGGGGCCCTCCTCTTCCTGCTCAGGTTGTGGCATTCATGCTGGGTACCCTTACCCTTCTCTTACTGCAGAACCCTTCCTCACCCTACTCCGCATGTCTACCATTTTCATGCAGATGCCCACTTTGCTCAGCCCTGCCTGATGGTTTTTGGACTGACTCATGCAAAAGAGAAAGAAAGAAGTTGATGTTATATTTTAAGCTCTTTTTATATATTATATATAGTATTTATAATTACAGTTTTTCATGGTTACATACCTGTTTTGACATAGAATTTGATAGGTGGGGACTGGAAAACATGTGGTTTAATGGTGTTAGCCAAATCATAAACAGAAGTCAGTTGCAAAGACTTATCTCAGAAACAAAGGACACATAGCATGGACCAGGACGATCATGCTTTTATAAGAGGTACATAGATTCCATCAAAGGCATTCTAAAAGCAGCTGATGGAATGCTCACCTTTGTGCCCACCTGCACATCATTCACCCATCCACGCATCCATTGATCTTTCCATCTTTTTTTTTAACTCTTAGTTTTTAGTCTCAAGGTAAGTTGAGCTTGGGAAACATTGTGAGTGCCCTGGAGCTGGCTGGGAAGCTCAGAGGTCAGCAATAGCAGGTGACCAGCCCAAACTGAGGATACAGTGAGCATCCAGTGATCATTACCAAAGAAGTATCTCCTGTTTTTTTATGCAGCCAGGTCAAGGGCCCTGGCCATATTGGATGGAAAAGTTGGTTCCAGTGTTAGTGATAGTGAGAGGCTGTTTTTCTTCACTGAACCTAGAAAGTTACCATAATTGGCTGGCAGACAAGAGGTCACAATGTAGTGATCTTCAGTGCAGCCCTGCTTGGGAACACACAGACCCTAGTGTAGAAAACATGGGTAATTGAAGGGTACGCATTTCACAGATGGCACCACCAGTGAACTATGTAATTGGATCTAGATTGCAGCAGACCACCTGTCTGTTTTCTTAGGACCTCAGGTGGAGGTTCCTGCTGCTGTTCTTTTAGGCAGTAGGGGTGGTGCAGGGGTCATGGTGAGAGATTAGAGACATGGTTTCTTGTCCAGTAGGTATCACTGTGCTGGCTTCTTCACCCTGTGGTCACAGGGAGGTAACCTTGTTTTGGTAACTGTGTTTATTTTTACAGGGTTTTACAAGAGGTTGTGCTGGTTTTTATTGTCATCCTTAACACATAAGTAGAATAGTTACACTATTGCCTGCCAGAATTATGGGAAATAATCATGTATTTTTTTCCCTGATTAATTTGAATGTATGTTCCATGTAACCTTATAACTCCTTATAACCACTTTTTCATATTTGGTGTAGCTATTTTCCCAATATTATGTTTTCTGTTTAAATACAATTTTGTTACTTTTTAAGTCTACTGTTTACTTGCTTTACTTGACTATATTTTTCTTTGGGATTTCTTTCATAATTTCAAAATCAGCCATGGAACTAGTAAGCATTTTACTCTTTTTCTCTGTTATTTATTCATGATTTAATTGTTTTCCAGGATTTCAGTTTGAAATGTTTTATTGTTTAATACATCTGGGGTTCACTGATATATAAAGTATAGACCTAATTTAATTTCCAAAAATTGGTATATCATTTATTATAATAATATGTTTGTACCCTACACCTACCTCCCTTTTGAAACAATTTGATTACCAAAAATGAAAATACATATAGTGTGTGTGTGTGTGTGTGTGTGTGTGTGTGTGTATATCTCCACTTATTGGCTTTTCACTTTGTTCTAGCCATATGTATTTCTACTTTTGTACCAGTATCACACAGCCTTGAGGCTTGTTGTGTTACAGCATGCTTTAATTTTTTTCTCATCTGAGTGACTTTTTTTGCTATTCATGCCTATTAATTTTTTCAACAAAATTTTAGAATCATTTTGTTTTATAATCACTTTGTTCTTATTTTAAAAAACATATTTCATCTTGGGACTTCTTTTTATTCTGTATGTGTCTTCTTGTATTTAAGTTTTTATCTATTTCTTCTGCTAAAACTGAAAACATTTAATGTATGTACTTGATCAACTGTGTTTATTCATGTATACACAATTCTGAACACAGCTCTCTCTATATTTTAACTGCTCAAAAATGGGGAGAAAAAATCTTCACTCTATAATAACCTATTTTCATTGTAATGTTTGTTGCAGGTTTTCTAAGTACAAAGGGCTTTTAAGATTATCAATTTAAAACCATATGGGGAAAGTGGGGTCCCCAAAATTCAGTAATTGGACTCTAGAACTTCTGAGACTTGTGCATTGTTTTTTCAGATACCTGGAATTGCAGTCTGGGGTTCTTATGGAAGTAGAGGAAGAGTGATGGTTGGGGTTAATGTGGGGGCCTTCTTTGCTATAAGCAGTGCCTCAATCATAGCCAGCCCCCAAACTTCAACACTGGCTGCTGGTACACCTGGCCTTGTTTTTCGGCCATCAAACTCTTTCCTCTGTGTGCTTTCCTTGCTCCAGCCATGCTTCTTTGGAGCTTCTGGACCACCCACAGCCCTGGCCACTGGATGCTGAGAAAATTGAGTGGATTACTGACAGTGGTCATCCTACTCTGTTAGGGGTTATCCACAATCTCTTGTGGATTTGCCTGGAAAGTGTTACATATAATGATGTTTCTGTGAGAAAATCAGTACTGAGTTCCAAACATACTGAAAAAGGAACTTTTACAGCACATATTGTTTAATGTGCGAACTGCCTACAATTTAGTATTTAATATTCGGGTTATTCTTCTATCCCCCCTCCCTGAAAAAAATATGATTGATTATTGAGTTCAAAGAAATTGCTTATCATTTCATTGCCATCTGCTTGTGTAGGTATGATTATGTCTTGAATTCTCTTGTTCATTGAGGCATGGTAGACAAATATATTTCCTATGCAGTATTTTTTATTAAA